ATTGTTTCATTCCTTGAAACTCTTCAGAAATATTGAAAATAACTGTTTTTTCCTTTTCAACTGAGTTCAACTAGATGTATTGAGAGAATGAATTACAGCTGCATGAAATCATCAAGTCTCCAGCATCAAGTAGGGAAAGGATGCTAACCTTTAAACAAACTATCTCAGAATAACATAAAGCTTCATACTCGTTTCAGGTCAAAAGAAAACTAACTAAACAATTTCAGCTTGCAAAGTACATGGGGTACACGAAGAGAATGAATCTCAGAACACTGCAATTAACTATGACAAGAACTACTGCCCTTATTACATATGCAAGTATGAAGCAATAGACAAAATGCTACTAGGATTTTAAGGATTTAAGTAGGAGAAATAGGACTTCTACACACATAAAATCAATTGCTACTCTAACTAAAGATCTGAGGCAAAATGCTGGATCCTAGCAAAGCATTTCATGTAACTACACTTACCCCCATACAGGGTCTTGTCAGAGAAGTACTTAGCCGTCACATAGCTAGTCATCTGCGTTACATAATTTTCATACTTTTTCTTGTCCTCCTGGTTATCCATATCCCTACAGATCAAGAACATTGTCGACATTGACATCACCTCCAATAAATGTTTCAGCAGAATGAACTTTTACGAGATCAATCATTTAAGATACATTAAGCATAAATTTCAAACAAACTGGGAGAAGTAAGATGAAATCCTTGTAGCAATCAACAGGAGATGATAAGAAGAATAAAATCCTTGGAAACTAGGTTGCCAGCTGAAGGAAGCAGCTTGTGATACTTTTTGCCCAATGCTTATATTTGATTCATAAACAAGAATACCATAGCCATGACTTGATTTAGCTGGGGAAAACAAGCAAGTGACATAAGGTAGTGTGTTGACAATGAGCTCATTCGTCACAAAAACCAAGTCATGCGACACAGACGGTAAGCTCATTCATAAATTATTGAGAATTGTCATTTCCTTTCCTGTGCATAGCAATTGGCAAAATAACAAGGGTCAAAAGATGAACTTCACAAATCTCCCATCATTAATGATATCATCTCCAGATCACCCCAAGGCAGTATTTTGGATCTCTTCTTCATTTTCAAAACAGTCAACAGAGAACGGGATGATAATGCAAATAAACAAAGAAAGATAATCTTCTCTAGTTTAACATCTATCTACATAGTAGCAGACCACTTTTTTGCAATTGCCATTTATGCCACAAAAACATTCAGGTTTCAGAGAAGCTTCAACAGCAAAATATAGATATCTCCATAAAAAACTTTTACAAAATTCAGTGAAACAAAAAAGATGAGCATTGGAAGCACATGCGTTGACCTTGGTAAATCTAATAGACAAATGGTTGTAAAAGTATATTATTCAGAAATTTTAGGTTAAAAGATATTTTGAATTGCTGATGGCCTGCACCAAATAGATACAGATATTACTGTACATAAGCTAAACCAGTTACATAAATAAAAAAATACAAAATAATTATTATTAGATGCAGGAGAGAATTCTTTACTTGACAAAGGTTTCGATACGAGAAGGGGCTGCCGCCGCACAAGAAAATTAGGGCTAGATGAGTAGAGAGTAGTTTTGCAAATGCAGTAGTGGCCTATTAAAACTCATGGGCAGAATTGTCATATTCTGCCTACCATGAAGGCAATAAAGTAAATGCATGACCATAAAGATTTATAAAAAAACAAATGAAAGATTGAGTAGGCTCAACAAAGCATACATTGACTCTCAGGCTTTGATTTCTTAAAGAAAGTTGTCTCCGCCATTTCCCTAATTCTTATGCTGCGTCACACAAAGAACCTTGGCAGTAAATTAAAATATTCTTGGAAATCTTGATTGTGTAGTTAGTTTTCTTATACTTGCTTATTGTTCACCATGTGCTATAATATAATTCACAATCTTCAATATTTTAGCATTAACACAAAACATTTTTGTAAATGACTGGCTTCAATTCTGTAACTGCAATAGCTAATAAACAATCAACAATTCTAAGTGGTTACATGCAATTTGTGGTTTTCTTCAATGTAGCCAGTGACTCAACGCAGAGCTAAAAGCTTTAGAACTTGTGTACTTTGATGCTTCAGAGATGTACAGTAAAGAAATGAAAAGAGGAAATGAGAAAATCAATGACATATAAGAGAAAAACCATGCATAATAGAGAAGAATCATTCATGTTGCCCTATATCTATGACTGGCAACAAAGATGACCTTGATTCCCTAACACGCTTGTGATCCAATAAAAATTCATAGTCACACACTGACAATATTGTTGGACCACCCCTCCTCCCAATCAAGTGGATGCACTCCGATTTCCAGAACACCACCTGTCTTTACAGTGATACGAAGTATTCTGACAGATTTTACTTTGAACAGCACATCAAGGTTAGTGCTAAATGATGTATACAGAAGTTATCATTTTAAGTAGATGAACTTCAACTTCCACAGACAATCAAGATAAAAAGTCAAACATGACATGGAAACCATAAAGATATTTTAAGTTCAATTTAGTGAAAGAGAACTTACACATAAGAAATTGAGCACCTGATTATGATTTGACATGTTTCCATACCAGACATTTTACATGGGAAGTCTCTACTTACAATATGCGTTCTTCTGTCAACATTCACATTAATATCACATGCATTTCAACGGTATACTGACAGGGGTCAGATTTAGTTTCCTCAAAACTGACATAGCGGTTTTCAAGTGCACAACAGTCCTAGCACCCCATTCAATTTAATTAGTAAAAATGTGCAAGTTCACAATTTTCTTTTCAATAAACAACTCCTGGAAAGCAAAAGTCATTTAGTTTTTGAAATATCTATTGCCATGTTGTTAAATACCAAAACTATAAACATGACATAGATCTCAAAATCAAAAATTTGCCATAGAGAAATTTGGGGAAGTTCTAAAAGGTAGTTTCTTTCAATCTATTGTTTTACACATGTTACAATTTTTTTTCTGTAAGTAGTCTTGAAACCCCTCTGTCCGCCCCCCCTCCCCCACACAAAATCCCTCTCTCACTTCATTCAGAATGAAGCCATATGCATTCTAAGAATATCAAAAGACAAAGAAAACAGGGAGAAGATGTAAAACAGGAAATAAAGCAAGATGGTCTTTGTACGTGCAAGTAATATAGCAAGTTTACATCATATGCTCCATATTGAATTTTACTTAAGCATGCAATTTGATCACTGAAATCATCAATAAACCATTCTATCCCATGACATAGAGCAATTAACATAAAAAGATTATATCATGTATGCATTATATAATTTTGCATATCAAGCATCCAATTTAGCAAAGTGAATGATCATTAAGGATTCTACTCTATCTGAATAGTACACCACAGGAGCTCAGATAATCAAAACTTAGCAAGCGGAAACACATGTATGATTTAGAAATATTTAATGAATCATATGGAAACTAAATCACATAAAAGACCATAATTTATGAAACATACATACTACAACACATGCAGACCCAAAAACCTACAAAGGATAAGCTTTTATTAATTCCACGTGTAAAATCAGATGGCAATATAAATTAAACTAACAAAAATTCTATCTCTTAAGACTTACTTAGATGGTTCTTCTTTCTTTGGCTCCAGGAGTGCACCATTTTCACTTGACACGTCCTGCCAAAAGTTAATTCAGAGAAAAGCAAGAAAATATTGAAAAAAAAAAGAAGTAAAAAAAAGTAGTGGCGAATGTTGGAAATAAGAAAGAATAAAAACCTGTTCTTCTTTGTTCGGGGGCAGAGACGGAGATGAAGCAGACTCAGAATGAAGCCCGGAATTTGATGCTGAAGTTGAAGCCATTGTAGCCTTTGTTTGATTACTGATGTCTTTTTCTCCGAGTGTCGGGTTTTTGCAAAGGAGGAGTGGGCTTGAGCCCCGGGGGTGGGGCTTTGGTTTGGATGTCTTAAATACTGACAAGTTTTCCAGATTAGTAACGGCAGCAGATAAATAGAGTTTGGAGTTTGGACAACGAATTGGACGGGTGAGAAGGTTACTGGGATTTTTTTTCCAAAATGTCTAAAGGGAAATTTCGGACACGTTCCTGCACTATCAGAGAGACTCAAGTAGCTGCCAATCTGCCACCGGTTATAGGCGGAAGGGGTGCTGGTAGTGGTGCTGGTGGTGGTGCTGGTGGTGCTGGTGGTGAAGGAGGCGGCGCCACCATATTGGTATGTAGAGATGTTGTGGCAGACGGTTGGAGTTGGAATCTATGAAATGGAAGTGAATCTAAAGTTGTGAAAAATTTAATAATTTGTTGCGGCGCAAGTTAGAATTAGTCATGCTCATTAAGAAAACTGAGAACTTATTTCATTGATTGATTGAGATATTGCTATTTGCTAGTGGACGGGCACCACAGAGATCTAATTGCTCTAGTCAATTTACAATCTAAAATACTTTAAAAAGAATTTAAAAAAATTAGAAACCAAATCATTTCTTCTTTTTTTTTTTGGATAAAATAAAAATTTGAATAAGAGGATAGACCGCTTTCATGATCTCTCGTAAAAAAGTGATCCATCATTACCAACTGAATTAACTTATATCGATAAAAACTAAAATAATAGATACTAACACAATAATTATGTATTGTTCACTTTAAATTCTAGTGCATGCTTGGAAAGTCGCTCAATTAAATTTGATGGATAACAAATGTAAGGATTTGGAAGATGATAATGGATGCAAATATTAAGAACTTGGTGGATAACGAGTATCAGCTTCATTTGATTTACTCTAGCACATTTTAGAGACTTTTAATATAAATATTTAGAAATATCACCTCTATACTGTTTCATTATTTTCTTTCTCTTATATACACATACATGCACATTTTTCTTTTTCTCCAAATGCGCAAATAAAGCTAATTTTTTTAAAATAAAAATATAATATTTGTGCGATATTTCAATTCAATATTATTATCCAATTAGTTATCAAATACATATAATTTAAACAATTCAACAACTTAATGCTTTCAACACTTAATTTTCAAAATTTAGAATTCAGATTTTAGACTATAACATTCTGTAACGCATAAATTTGCAATTAATGCGGGATTTCCCATTGAAAAGTCAACCCCTTTTGGGCCTTTCAAAATCCGGGTTAAACCAACCAAAACAAACAAGTACAGAACCAAGATAGTTTCCTATAGGATTGGCCCATTTAATGGATTTAACCATGAATGGCATTCGAAGAATCGCAGTTTTGGCATTCTTAGAATCGCAGTTTTGGCATTCTTTCCTCGTTTTGTCCTCGCTCGAGATCATTAGATAGGAAGGATTCCTCTTCAGCAGCTTCAAGAATGATGATCCATACGAACTTGGTAGGAATATTGTTCCAAGCAATTCATCTGCCTAAGTCAGTCCAAACTTTTCCTGTGACACTTCTTCTACAGTTGATCAAAGGAAAAAGCAGTTTCTGCATGTAAATTTCTGCTAACCAGTTTTAACACTTCCCCTCCCTGATCTCTTTCAAAAGACCCTAAACTTTCACATGTCAGATGATAATGTGCTTTAATAAATTGATAATCATACACTTGCATGATTTTCAATGCCTTCAGAGCATGTTTTGCAGCTTTAAAATCCATTACCCCATAGATCAGTAGAAGGATTAACAGTCCCTGAATATTGAAACGGTCAAAATGCTAGTTATCACTCAGAACTATCTCCCCACAAGCAACTTTGAGATACCAACTTGATGGAAATGAGGCAGTTATCACAAGTCTTACAGAAGCATAAGTCAGTCCAAAATGGTACAACTTCCCTAGAGTTTTCTCCATTCAATTGACTTATGAGACAACTAGATGGCATTCTTGCAGACCCTGAAAGCAACAACTTTAGGCGTCCTCAACAAGCCAAAAGAATAAAGTGATATCTTTTATTGCTTTAGCAGATCTATCTTTGCTCATGAAGCACTAAAACCCAGGTTAGGGAAATATCAGGTATCAGTTATTTTCTACTCTAATGTCTTCCACATAAGCCTAATCTCTTCTGAGTCAGGAAGCATTTCGTCACCAACAATGAAGCTATAAGTTTTCCCTCCAACTTCAGTCCAACTACAACCTACATCCTTCTGTAGTCCCATCTCTTTCATTATACCCCTGACCCTTCTCACATCATCCCACTTCCCAAAACCAGCAAAGAAGTTAGAGACTAGAATATAACTTTCAGCTCTGCTTGGCTCCAGTTCTAACAATTTCTCAGCAAATTCATTTCCCAAATCCAACTCACGGTGATTTCTACAGGAACTAAGCAATGAGCTCCAAATTCTGGCATCAGGTTTAATAGGCATACTAGCAATTAGCTCTAAAGCATCAACAAATCGTCCTGCACGACCGAGCATGTCAATTACACATGCATAATGCTCCAACTTAGGCTCTATCTTCTGAAAAGCATGCATTTCGGTTAAATAACTAAGTCCCTGTTCAATCAGTCCAGCATGCTTACATGCAATTAGGATATTAGAAAATGTACAGAGGTTGGGCTTCAAGCCAAGCTTTTTCAGTTTCTGGAATAGCATATGAGCCTCCTTTCCATATCCATGAATTGCATAGCCAGAAATCATAGCTGTACATAATGCAGTGTCTTTATCCTGTACGTGATCAAAAACTGTTTGGGATAATTCTATTGACCCACTTTTGGCATACATGTCGATTAAGGAACAATTAACCAAACTATCCTTCATTAAGTCAACCTTCAGAGCAAAGCAATGAGCTTCTTTCCCAAGATGCAAAGCTGACAACCGTGAAATAGCACCTAGGACACCTACTATAGTAATTTCTTTAGGTTGGATACCATCAGATACCATTTCACGAAAGATATCCAAAGCTGCACAAGGCAGTCTATACTGCAAGTACCCTGCAATCATTGCATTCCAAGACACTAACCCTCTTGTCTCCATGCTGTCAAATAGAACTTGTGCATGTGCTGGAATATCACAACTAAAGTAAAGTGAAAGCAGTGAAGTACTGATAAACGAATCAATTTCTAACCCCTTTCTAAGAACAAAACCGTGAATTTCTTTACCATACCATAGTGATTTCAAATGATTACAAGCTAAAAGAAGGCTACCAATGCTAACCAAGTCAGGGTCAATTCCTGAACGTGCCATTTCAAGATACTTTTCTAATGCTTTGGATGGATTCCCATTCTGTACACATCCACCTACAAGTGCATTCCAGGAGCTCACTGCTTTCCTCTCCAATTTATCAAACAGACACTCGGCCGTACTTAATAAAGCACATCTAGCATATGCTGTAATAAAAGCGTTCGCTAACAATTCATCTTTTTCAAACCCATGTCTAATAGAATACCCTTGCAGTTCCTTCAAATACAATAGCTCTGAAGCCTCCTGACAACAAGGCAATACGTTCAACACTGTTAGTTCATTAGCCTTGAACTTATCCCTTTCCATTTGCATCTTCCTCACAAGGTCAAATGTTCCATCAATAAGTCCTTTTCTAGAATACCCCCCAATCATTGAATTCCAAGATACTACATTCTTGCTATCATTCAAGTCAAAAGTAACTCGGGCTTTCTCCAAAAGCCCACATTTTGAATACATGTCAATTAGTGCATTGCTCACCATTACATCCCCACTCATCCCAAATTTCACCACTAAACCATGAACAGCCTTTCCCATCACGGAATCCCCTTCCCCTGCGCAAGCAGGCAAAATAGTCACCATTGTAGCTGAATCAGGAACCAATCCATCCAAACCCATTAACAATTCTCTAAAAAAATTAAAACTTTCTTGAAAACACCTATTTTCGGACAGAACGGAAAGCATAGAATTCCAAGAAACCAAGTTCTTCTCAGGCATAAACTCAAACATCTTGTCGGCATTCTCAAGAATCCCAAACCTCCCATACATAGCAATCAATGCATTCCCCACAAACACATCAGAAGCCAAACCCATCTTCACTACCATCCCATGAACAGCCATTCCCAAATCCACATCCAAAATCCCTCCACAAGCCTTTATAACACAAGGAAACGTAAAATTATCCGGCATATATTCTGTTATTGAGATCATTTCATCAAAAAGATACAACGCATCATAGTAAGACTCATTTCTTGTATACCCACTCAAAAGCGCATTCCATTGGTACAGATTTTTCCCCCGTATTTGATCAAAAACAGAGCGGGAATCTGAGGGAGAACCACACATTGCATACATTGTAATGACCCTAGTATTTAGTACAGGATTATTTCTCAAATGGATCGACTCCCGAATTAATTCATGGACTTTTCTTCCTATTTCAATGTTTTTGTCAACTCCACAGGCCTGTAAGAGTATTCCCAAGGCTAAAGCTTTTTGGGTTGGATCAAGAAAGCTATTATGCGGATTTTCTTGAATCAAATTCAAGGCTTTGATGAGAGTTTTTGATTCGCAAAGTTCAGTTATTTCTTCAAGAGGAGAATTACGACGACCACTTCTGTTCTCAACTGGGGTGGAAATCGATTGAACTGAATGATTGCTGATGGGATTGCGAATGGGGAGGTGATGATGATGATGATGATTATGGTGGTGGAGATGATGGCTTGAAAATAACGGGAGCACCAAAGCCATGACCTAGGAGGTGCAGTGGTTGCCTCGGTTTGTTAGCTCGGGAGACCTTTTACCAACTCCTCTATCCTCCTCGTTATCTGTTCAAGTGGGCGGTGAGTTCAAGAATGACAGTTATTTTCGTTATTTCTGACGTTGCTCTCTGACAAGTGAGATCATCGTAGAGTTCCCCAAAAAAAAAAAAAAGAAAATAATAGAGACTTTGTATACTTTTTTTTTTCCTACACATTTTGCAAGTAAGAATTATAGACTTGGTAAATTATAGAGGTGAATATATATACATTAAGAAAGTGCTGGGAGATCTTGGATTTGAGTCTCATTAATCGAGCGTTTGATCTTGGATTGAGAGATTTGATGAAAGATTTAAAATTCATCCAAATTGCTCTAGTTGTTTGAATTGTCTAATAGGGATTTAGATTTGTAATATACCACTCATTAAGATATATAGTTTAAATACAAGAATAATTGATAGTTTACAATTTAACTACCTTCTAAACAATATAAACAACTAGTGGAATTTCAGAGGATTTTAAATTCTTCGTCAAATTTTTAAATCCAAACGCAATCCATAGTATTTACCTGGCCCATTTTTGTTGATTAATTGTAATATATTGAGTTGCAATCTCTTAATATTTTTAATTTTTATACCTAATTTTTAAAAAAAATTACGCTAAAGCACCAGTAGTGGACCTCTTGTCTAAACTTTTTCAATTTGTCCAAATGCTAAAGCCATGCTTGGATTGCTTGTTTCGGTCGGAAAATATTGTCGTTTTCCGTGATCACATTTCCCTATCACCTTTTTCCCTCACATATATCAAATCGCTACAGTATTTTTTCCATGAAAAATGATGAAAAATGCAATCCAAACACAACCTAAAATTCCGCTCGCTTTATCAGCCAGGTGGAGTTTCCACCGGATCTTTGTAAACGTTCTGTGCTCTCCATCAAAAGCACCAAAAGCCAGATATTCTGGACGATTGGGAAAACTTTAATTAAGTAGTACTTCAAAGTATCACTATAAGAGGTATATATGGTCAGTTCAAAAACATATATATGGTCAGTTCTAACTTTGCAACCATTTGTTCGGTGACAGATACATGCAATGTCATTGGAGGAAACACACAATGCAGCTAAAATACTACATCAGAATTGCACATTTAACATAGCAATCTTGATAACCATAAAAGTTTATGACAAAGTAATAAACTGAACTGAGCTCGATATCATTCTAGCGCAAGAAACATGGATCGAATAATTGGAATCTTGTGAGACGATGAAAACAAGAAGAACTATATATATGCCATGAATTCCTAATAATCCGAATGTGTTAGGGATTAAATTGCTTCCATCACAAGTTACGCAGTAGATATGATGCACAGATAAGTCAGAAACACCTCTGCCTACCCTCTTGTTGTCTATTTAAAAATCTTTGTTTCTTTTTCTTAGGGATAAGGACTAATGTTGTCGGTTAGTTCTATGTTGGTTGTTTTACATGGCTCACCTTCCTGATGAGGATAATTTGCTAAAAGGTTTCTTGGTCTTGTAACATATTAATCCTAGTTAAGCAATCATGTCGACGAATCATAAGTGGAATCATCTTTGTTAAGTAAGATGACATGTACAAAGCGGACATCAACCAAGATGCTTAGTGATTGGAAACCCTTCATTGTTGCTCTGAGCGAAGTAAATGGAACCTTGTGAAAACTCATAAAGTCACAAATTCTCTATCTTATATTAAAGGGCATATCCTGTATTTTGGTATTTCGATTAAAGAATTTCAATATTCAACTGTGACAAATTTTCTATCGTTTCTTTTGTCTCATTTGCTAAAGACAACTGGATCGGTTAAATCCATGTTGATGCTTGTTAGATTCACAACTACACTTGTATATGCCTGGCTTCCCTTCTATCTCTAATGGATAGGCATCAATTTTGTTGATGATGAAGATTATTTAGACAAAACTGAAAACTTCTGCCTGAATCTTGAAGAATGAAACTTAATTGCTTAAGCCTTAATTTGTTGAATCCATAATAACGTTAAATTGTTTGATAACTAATTGAATGTGAGGACTAATTTGAAATATTTTTTCACAGTGTATTATATAGCTTAATAGTAATGTTATGCTTTATTTTTGCTGTATATTACTTTTGTAAATATTAATTTTTTACTACTAATAATCTACATGCTAATATGAAAAGTATGTTTGTGTGAGAAAGAATATATTTTTATGTGTGAAAATGTGTGTTTGGGAGAAGAAAAATGTATATTTTATGTGTTTGACAAAGAAATTATGTCAAAGAGAAGAAATTATGTAGGTGTGTGGGAGACGGTGTGTGCGCGTGCACGCGAAAGTGGTGTGTGTATGAGAGAGGACAATGTGTATTTTCAATAGTATTAACATTATTGTACTAGTTCAATAGTTCAACAAATTATACGATACAACTTTTACTTACAATTTTATATACAATTTATTAAGTAGTTTTACTTAGATGTAAGCAAATTTGGTTATCGAACCACTAGCCCCCCCCCCCGGGAGGAGGAGAGGGGGGAGCAAATCTAGTTATCAAACATACCCTTAATTAATCTTAAAAAATTACTTAATATATTAACTTTAAGTATTTGAATGGGTTTATCAATCATCGCTTTAGTCTTAAAAATTTTGTTTAGTTAACTAAGCACGTGCAAGAAATTAAGTGGGAATTCATCCTATTTAATAAACAAATCCACCCAATGAGAGATTTAATTGATTTGACAAAGTACAAACTACAAAATGGACAAAAACAAAAACAAAAACTTTATAGATGGGGCAATAACAACTTGGAATGTTGGATAACACCAGGTACATATACTCCACGGTTACAACCGGAGATCAAATTTTATTTGCTGATTCATCATCAACTCAAATTCGGATATCCAACACCCTTTATTTTATTCTATTAAACCAAAGCACAATTTGGATATATATCCAACACTCTTTATTTTATTCTATTAAACCAAGCAGTAAAAGCAGCTTCAGCCCTTCATTCAAGAGATTCTCATGGCAAAATATACTGGAAGATCTTCCTCGGAAAAGTCCGGAATATACTCAGTACATAGATCAAGGAAGCATGCTGGGAACATTATTACATAGTACTATGTAATATAATGAGTTCCTTGCATGCTTGAAGTGCTAGTGAGGGTTGCATAATTTGCATATGATTATGGCGAGCAAGGACAGTGCATAAATGGCCCAAGAAATGATCTTCAGCCATGGAGGAAATGCTGTAGTCACGGCTAGGAAGAAAGCCGTGGCAGCAAAGAAAATCCCAATTTTTTCCAATGCTTCAGAAAGCATCCGACTGTTGGGATTTGTGAATTTTGCCATAAAAAGGGAGACAAAAGCGAGTAGAATTGCGAAGGATAGTATATGGAAACATGGAGGAAGATTTGAGCTAGTTTGGGTTGATTGAAGAGCAATATCAACTGCTGATGTTAAACAAAAAGCAATTAATAGCATAGTCCAGTCTAGATCCCGTGGCACATTTTGATGAGCTGCTTCACGCACGACCTGATCAGGAATGGCGAGTGGCCTATGATTTTGAGGCACAGGCGGAGGAGGAGGAGGAGGAGGATGACGATTGAGCCATGGAAGGAAAGGCTCCAGTATTTTGTTGAAGAAATGCAAAAGCACCTCAACTATTTTCTTGAAGAAGAGAACAAGGTCCATAGTTGATGAGAGATTACGGACTAATCAGCCATACACTGATTGCTTATATAGAAAGCAAGAGAAGCCTAGTCTTTGCCCCGGCAATAGCTAACATCCAAATTTATAACTGTAAAAGGCACAAATTCCTTGGATTTATCAAGGGTCGAATGAAATCACAATGCAGAACAGAAAAATAAATTTTAAAAAAAATGTGAGATTACAATGTAAAAAGCATAACCGGCAGAATAAAAGAACCGCAAGAAAATAAAATATTAAATTAGTGGTTTAGTTCGCAAAAGTATCATCTCAAAGCTTGGTAAAAATGGGCAGACTTAGTCTTGACTGGATCTTAACCCTATATATATAAAGGACAACAAAAGTAATCTTGTTTCTTCCATGTTTTTGGTGCCAACGAGTCAAAGAACAAAGGCAATATACCCTGTGCCTGTGGAGGGGATTAACATAGTATTGCCTCTGGTACTGTTTCATTAGATAATGTACTTCGCTTATTGTACTTACCTAGAAATAAGCCAAAAACTAGATAAACACACCAAAGCAACCTACTCTACCGGCTCAAGTACTTGGAACAACCTTGAACTTTTAGTCCATATTGTCAGTTCCTAAGCTTCATATTTTATCTATTTTAGAACGATAAAGCCATTCACAAGACGATTTTCTGGTGATTTCTAGGATAATTAACTTTGTGGAACTAGCAATTACATTGATAATTTGACAAGTTGTATTGGTCAGTACGTAGGAGAAATATTTGGAAGCCAAAACATGTTTATAAAATAACGATTAAATGTCTGTATATAGTTACTAACTATAGTTACTATGGGGTGCGGTGCATGAGGACAGAAAGAGACGAGACAAAAAAAAAACTATTCATGTCATTCCCGAACTATATAGAGAGAAAGAATAAGAAGATATGATCCCAGCTACTCCAGAATATTCACGATGGATTATTCCACCATTAATATCGTGGCATGTGCAAAATTGAGGATTACTTAAATTTCCTTTGTGATGCCTGATGTTTTGTTGCAAAATTGGGAACAAAGCCCTTTATTCCCTTTATCAAAAATTGGGAGTATTTTTTGGTCTGCCTTCTCTGGTGCCATCGAGTCAAACAATAAGGAAAATCTGACGTCTCTAAAGAGACTATCTATCTGATATATACTTCCTCTGATTTTCTTTATTACATCCTTTTCAAAATGTCACGAACCAACTGGACTGGAATTTGTTTCTGCTAGATTTATATTGTATTATATTATACCATGTCCATTTCAGATCCTATTAGTCAAAAATAGTGGCAGGAGAACTTTAAACTAATCCGTGTACATTAAATTCTAAGTAAAAATTGACCCCACAAAAGAAGAAAACAAAAGATTGAG